TCTCTCTCTCTCTCTCTCTCTCTCTCTCTCTCTCTCTCTCTCTCTCTCTCTCTCTCTCTCTCTCTCTCTCTCTCTCTCTCTCTCTCACACCCTCTAAGTCTCTTCTCACTCTCTCCTCACCTTCCTCTCTGGATTGGGATACCACATGTACGATGAGTAATGGTTTCACGAACGATTTTTGGAGACATTGATTCTGTGCTATGATAACTTGTATGTCGACATGGACGAGCTTCTCGTATGACTGGGTTCATTGCAAATCTTTTACCAAAATTGAAAAGAAAAAAAAAGAAAAAAATATATATATATTTTTTTTCACCCGGCCGGGCGAGTGGTCCCGGGCCAACTCTGGTAGCCTGCGATATCATCACCGTATAATGACCGGGCGTTGTATTCGGGTAAGATGGTAGTTCTCTTTACTTCGCTTTTCCTTCTTTTGTGGAGGATTTGGTGCTTTTGACATTTGGGTGAACCCCAGCACAACATGCCGCTGTCACTAACCATTACGCCCTTGCTCCTCCGTACCGTTTGCTGTGCGTGACCGGCTACTTGCGACAACCTGCATTGGCATCATCACACAACAGGCGCGCCTGCAGCTCAGAGATAGAAAGAAAGTGGTCGCTTTGTTGGATGCGATGTTCGCAGATGGAGCGTACTGCGAAAAGTCCGTCTGCAAGGTCGCCGCGGTGACTGCGAAATGCCTGGCGGAGGAGCCTGACCTGAGGCCGACGGCGGCAGAGGTACTGGCGGAACTGGAAGCTGCGCACCAGTTGTCGAGCCAATTTCAGTCAAAGCTAGTCTGGGGAGGTAAAAAGTAATTTTTTGTTCTAGCAGCAAAAAAGGTAATGGGCCTCGCTCCACTACTCTTCAAAAATTATGTCTGGAATGGACAGTAGATAGTAGACCAGATGCATTTTGACTGATGGAACATTTTGAATGTATCGGAAGACCTCTAACAGGTCCAGATACATTTAGTATGATGTGTAGTCGAGCAAGGTGCAGTGAGGTTAATGTGATTATTATTAGACGGTGGGTAGTCGACTGGGCGGCATTCTCAAGCCGCCACTACACCTCTCCCAGGAAAACTTCTGCGACGAATTGGTTTACATCGGCATTCTTGGGGGGCTCAGCCTCCCGGACCTTTTTGGCTGTGCGGGGGCTCGGCCTCCCGGACCTTCTTGGCTGCACGGGGGCTCGGCCTCCCGGACCTTCTTGGCTGCACGGGGGCTCGGCCTCCTGGACCTTTTTGGCTGCGCGGGGGCTCGGCCTCCCGGACCTTTTCGGCTGGTGGCGCCAGTCAAAAAGACGAAAAAGAAAAAGAGCGCTGGGCCGGTTCGTTATGGACTTGCCGCACAGCAAAAATCCGCCACGGGAACAGAGGCTCAGAGGTGGGGGTGGGGGTGGGGGGGGGGGGGGCAGTAACATATTTAGAAATTCAGGCTGTGGTTTAGACTGCAAGCCCAAATCCCAAAAAGTCTGAAAAAGACGGATATCAGGCAAGGTGATCATCATCACCTTAGTGCTGAACATTGGCGATGCTGATGGACAAGGGAGGTAGTTGGGATTATAGAGGGTAGAGAGACATGGGCTGACGTAAGTCTGTGTTTGACGGCCTAGTTGCACCACTCGCCATCCACCAAGATTTTGAATGCACCTGGACAACGTCCTTGTCCAGATGCATTCAAAATCTTGGCGAATGACGAGTGGTGCAACCAGGCCTTTGTGATGCTGGGTTGCCCAAAGGAAATTCCGAGTCTCTCTGTTAGCCACCGAGTTTTCGGCGTATATGTTCTTTCCTTTAGAATTAATTAATTAATAATTGCACGCATGCCTCTCTGTGCCCTGCGGCGCTTGCACAAATTCCTCTATCAGAATGCACCTGGCCGACCGCATGTCCCGGTACATATCGTGCCCCTGGCCGTCTGTATGTCTTGGTCATTCTGACCAAGTCATCAAGGCAAAGCAATTGCAGAGGCAATCCATCAGAATCCCTTTCCGTAGCGCTCCTGGTTTTCGTCAACACACCAACACCACGATCGAAGTGTTACACCCAAGTGACCCCACCCTCGCCCCCCTTCCTCCCCGTTCGTCTCCCCCCTCTCCCCCTCCTCCCCCCTCTCCCCCTCCTCCCCCCTCCTCACTGGTCTGCCACGGCAATCCGTAATGGTCACTACGAGCAACAAGTCCAGCAGGATTTTCTGTTTAGTATTAAGAAGAAATGTGGATTCCTTTTCTGTTATGAAGGGACCACAAAAAGTATTATGATGGGCCCACATTATGACGGGCCGACATTATGATGGGGCCCACAAGAAGCTATGATGTACTGAGAAGAAGTGAAGTTGCGATTATCTGTTCATTGCTCCCTTACGATGGGCCCATAGGAACTGTTATGCCATGGACATCTGCTTCTAAGTTTTACTGTGAGGATTGCTAGTTTGAGAGACAGACAGACAGA